AAGTCTTATTTGTTTTATTTTGGCTAGAAAAAAAAGCAAATTTTATTTTTTTTAAAAATCATTTTTGGGACGAAATTATTAGCTCCTTTAAGCAATTTTTTTTTCAATTATCTACAGAACAAGCAATCATCATACAACAACTTGCCTAATTACCCTAACCTGCCTAGTTGACCTAATTAACCTAGTTAAGCCTTTAAATGTCACTTTAAGCTGTATAGAAGTGTCTTGAAAAATATCAAGTAAAATATTATTTACTGTCATCATGGCAAAAATAAAATAAACCAGTTTTTAGAAATAAATTCTTAAATCTATTATGCTTAGAAATGTGCTGAAACAATCTTCCCTCCATTAAACAGAAATTGGGAAAAAAAAATAAACAGGGGCTCTAATAATTCAGGGGGGCTAATAATTCTGTGTGTTTATATATATATATAGTTGAAATCAGATTTATTAGCCCCCTTTTGATTTTTTTTCCTTTTTTTAATATTTCCCAAATGATGTTTAAAAGAGCAAGGAAATTTTCACAGTATGTCTGATAATATTTTTTCTTCTGGATAAAGTCTTATTTGTTTTATTTTGGCTAGAATAAAAGCAGTTTTACATTTTTTTAAAAACAATTTTGGGACAAAATTATTAGCCCCTTTAAAAAAAATGTACGCAATTAACGCAGTTCTGCTGTGTTGTGAACTCAAACCAGCAACCTTCTTGCTGTGAGGCCACAGTGCTAATCACTGAGCCAACATGCTGGCCCATTTAAAAACACATTCACTTATTATTTCTTCTTTCACAAAATAGGACATCTTACCCAGTTTTTAGTAAAGAGGCATTAGTCATTATGAACCTGACAGCTCATTTGTTTATGGTAATTAGCTATGATAAGCATCTAATCTAGCGTCTCAGAGCAATTATGAACAACACACACAAGCTGTTTAACAATCCCGTCCCCGTTTGTTCTCTAAAACATGAGTTATTTCTCCACAGATATGAAGCTTGATCCACATAAAAAGTGCAAACTGCCTTGGCTTATCGCCTCACGGCCACATAGTCGGGTGTCCCGTATGAATCTTCATGCCACAGTATCAGGGCACGGTGCCATCTCCACTCCACACCCACCGGACAGTTGCTACAGGAAACGGACAGCCAAACAACAGGAGTGAATATAGTAGAGAAAACCCGAACCTCCAGCACCAGAGAAAGAGCCACAGGCTAAAGTCAGAGTGAATAGAAACTACACTTTTAAAATTATGCTTGCAGTTTGTTCAAACTACTTATTTTAAATGAGCCGAAACAACTAAATTCTTGACGTTTTAAACTCAATTGTTTTATGTTCAGTCCACTTAAATTTGTAAAAATGTAAAAATTAAAGTAAAAATTTAAAAGCCAACCTAATTCCTTCATGTAGTCCCAAATGGATTGTGTGGAACCCAGCATTTGTTACAGTGTATGGCCTGTATTTCACAAAACATCTACACTTTTTTTTTTTTTTGGAAATAGGCTCATTTTACAAGTCACAAAGAGTTAAAGTGATTAAGTTTTACCATTTTTTAATCCAATCAGCCGATCTCTGGGTATAGCGGGAGCATTTTTAGCTTAACTTAGCATATATCATTGAATTTAATTAGGCCATTAGCATCTTGCTAAAAACAAATGTGAAAAGTTTTGATCATTTTCTGATTTAATGTAGGGTTGTTCCAAAACCGATACTAGCATTGAAAATACAATACTGCTCAATTCTGTCATCAATATCGGTGAAGATTTGAAGCCATAAACCGATCCGATACTACGTTTTTAAATGAGACATATGCCTGCTAGCTTTGCTTAACACTGCAAACCCAGAGTCAGTTCTTCTATACAGTAGTAACATACTATTTTATTAAAAAATAAAAATGAATTTCACGTTTCGAAGAGGTTATTT